TGCAATGTGGGAGACCTGGGTTCAGTCTTTGGGTCGGGAAGACCCCCTGTGGGAGGACAGGGCAACCTACTCCAGTATTCTTGTTTGGAGAATCCCATGGACAGAGGAGCCTGGCGGACTATAGTCCACGGGGTTGCCAAGAGCTGGACACGACTGAGCAACTAACACTTCACTTACACATACAATAAAGAGGGCGGATTAGATGTTTTCTAAGTTCCCAGTCATCTCTAACTTTGTGACCTGAGAGATGGCTTTTTAGTGAAAGTGCCGGATAAAGGTAGAGCTGTCACTCACGCCATCCTGGTGACAGGTGTGTGTGGAAGAGAGTCCTGGATCAGGAGTCAAAGGCCTTGTGGTAGAAACTACCAGCTGGACCTCCCTTAGCTACTCTGAAGCCTTAGCTGTAAAAGCTGCAAGTGAGGTCATGTTGACTAACTGAAGCAATGATTTGTTGGAAGTGCTCTGATGATGAATTAAATATAAAGAATTAGGAGTTGCTATTAAGAGAACAGCAAAAAGTCCCTTTCAGAAACCAGTTCTTAGCTTCTGAATTTTAGGCAGCTTAAAATATAACTATATAGAGATTCCTCCTCTTACCCACTGACCCCCCCATCCAATTTCAACAAATGCAATGGATTAAAATTTGCCAAAGGAAATAACAAAACAATAGTAATTTGCTAATGGGAAAAGTCATGATTCTAAAATGAGCTATGGAGAGTAACCCCTGAAAATGAAGGCTTGATTTGAAAGTCACTTTGGAAATCTGCCTTGGTTTTGTAATGTCAAGTTGTAAGTTAGAAATTTTTATGTTCAAAAAATTCAGAGACCTGTTTTTCAGCAGATTCCAGTGGAGAACACACCAGGCTAAAGTCATACTGCCTCATGTTCATGCTTTAGTCCTGTTCCCGAGTTGCTATGCAAGCTTAGAAAACTGGCTGAATCTCTTAAGATCAAGTTCTCCCAGTTACAGTGTGGATTGATAGCAGATGCTCAGAGTTTTCATATATTTCACTCTAGTATGAAAATTAAAGGTAATTTATTTTAAAATATTTGTGAAAGCCCTTTTGGTATTTCAGATAAAAGTTACCATAATGCAGCTAAGGTACCACATCTAACTTTATATACCTGATATGCCCTGAACATTATTTATAAATAAAATCTTATAAATGTGTTAGGAAGGGGATATAAAAGGCCTTTATAAAGCAAAGGATCCTTTTTGAAACTCCAAATTGGGTTACCACGTAAATCCATGTTTTCAAAACCAGATTTTCGATAAAAGCAGTCTACCTACAGCATTGTTAACCTTAAACACACAGAGCTATTCACAGAGGCTAGTAATAAGAACTATCTTCATGGGACACCTTAATAAGCACCAACCACATCACCAATCCAGAGCCTAATAGAAAATCTCTAACTTTGGGGAAAACATGTATTTTCTTGGAAATTTCAAAATAAAGGGTGCTAAAGAATAACCAGGAATCATAAATGAGCTGGAGTTTTTCAAGGTCATTTTCAATGTCTATCATTTTACTAAGAAAAATGCAATAAAAGTGCTGCATAGCTAAAAATGACATTTTTACTATTTAAATATTTGTTTCCTGTTGCAGAAGATACTGTCAAGGGAAAATGTTTTCTATTGCATCATCACTAATATAATCGACCCCAAGAATAAAATAAAATTTGAAAATAAAGAATTAATGGGGTAGTACTTAAATATATAGATACACACCTTTTTCTATTTCCTGATTTAACAAAGAAAATGGTCTAGGGAAACTGCAGATTTGATTGAAGGGTATGGTAATCTTTCCTTCTTTGATCTCCTGCAGCACATACATACTGTCTGTATGAAACATTTGGCATGGGTGAATTGTCTTATGTCTTTTCATGCATTTAGTTCTTGTCTATACAACTAAGTGAGCTCCCGGAAGGAAGTTCCCTTCAACACTGAGCTGTCAATGCCTTGTACATAACCCGGGTGCCTTAGTCATTGATTGGCATGTGCATTGCAGGGAGGAGCCTGGTGAGATACACTTAAAATCTTTATTCATTGATTTACAATATGTACAATATTTACAAAATTTAGGCATTAAATCCCATATTGACATGAATGCTGTGGGAAGTCTAAAAATAAATAAATGGCACATAGGTTCATATTCACATCTTTGCACTTCATCACCAGCTGTAGGATTTAATGGAAGGTTTAAGGTGGTAGGAAATTCAGATGGATGACTGGTCCTGGACCTTCCACATGAATAGCCCTTCCTTGGCTCCTCGAGGCTGGGGTTGGTGAGCAAACTACTTTCTTTGAAGATAGTGAAATACCAGCCATTCTATAGGCACAAGGGTGCATGAAGCCACACCCAGGTGGAGTTTGCAGTGGCCCCCTGGGTAGCAGACAAGTTTGCACCATTGCGGACCCGGTCCCCCCACACCAGTCAGGAAGACTTCGGAGAGGCGCCTTCTTATGAAGAACCGAGATTTGGACTTTATCTCTTATTCTAAACACATGCAGTACATGGAAGGTGTCAGTGGAGAGTGACCCATGCATGAAAATGTATTTGTAGGTATATACAACATCAAATTGTCATTTTCTTATGGCATCTTCAGATGTAGGATCAACCTGCCTCCTCTTTGATAACAAAAGGAATGAATGAAGAAGCCATACCTCACCCCCCAAAGAAGAAACACTGGGGTCACACACAAATGACATCCTGTAGAAGCAGGACTAAACAAATTCCCCATAAAATGAAAGAATACCCATGATGTTAGGCCTGGAAGTTTTCCTAGGAATGGCAATTCTACCTTTCCTTTCTCTTCTACCTTCCCTTTCTCTTCCATCCTGCCTCATCCCACATAACCTAAACCAGAAGGAAAAGCTTCTTAGAGCCTCAGTACCTTCATCTGTCATCTGTCAAGTGTAAATACTAGTAGCATTCCTTACCAGGTTCTCACAGGCCTTATATGACCCAACTCACGTAAAGTGCTTAGCCTAGCGTCTGGCACCTAAGAGGTGCTTAGTAAATGTCTTGCCTTCTCTCCCTCTACTTCCCCTACCCCACCTGTAAGCAACATATTGATAACCCTACCAAACTCGGAATGAAGGCCATTTGATGCAATTAAAATGATTTTGTATCAGAGTTTCTGATGTCAGTTCCCATTTGGTCCCTTCGGGGGGGTCTCATTTCATGAGTCCAAGACCTCTTCCTGTGCAGGGCCGATGGCCCCCAACAACTGTACTCCTCATCAGTAATGACTCCACCGAAGTCCATGCAAAGATATGCCCTAACCCTGCTGAAAAACTCGTACCAGTGATGGTCACCACCTGAATACTTCTCGGACAGCACCACTGAGGAAACCATGAGCCAACACATTACTCTTTTTCATAAGTTTTTTCAACACTGGTGCAAGTATTATAGATAACTTTCAACAAACATATTACAAGCTCTACCACCGTTGAAAAATAGGCATTCTGATTTGATCATTTTGTTCAGAATAAAGAATCTTTTATGATATATCTTAGTTTCTAGTTATGCCATACAAAAATAAATATTATATAAGTGATTTATAAGGAAGAAGAAAAAATTGTAACTTGAGGTGCCAAAAATATAGGAAGGATGGTGAAAGTTTTACCATTTACTTCGAAAGCAATCATCTCAAAGAAAGAAAAACTCTCTGGGTTATTGTACTATTCTCATCATGACCCTACTGGCCCACCTGCTTCTCATCCTGGGATATTATGACTTCTTTCCCTATCAATCTGGAGACAACATAATGCAGAACCTTCTCCCTGAAGTCACGGGGGATTTGGAAGAGAAAGAACAAAGGAGGCTCTTGGGCAGTGTAAATTGCAGATGAAAGGTTTGGCAGAAACAATGACTGGGCACTCACAAACGAATCAGTTCCACACATCTTCCTTTCATTCTGAAATCCTTTCTCTGTCTTGATTAGCCATGCCTAAATAGAACCTCATGCTTGGAGGAAATAAGCCCATCTTGCTGTCAGCCACTTTGGATACCAATTAGTCCAAGTAGAATCCAGAATTTCATGGAGCAAAATTAGGTGCCAGTCAAGGCTAATCTCACCAGTTATATGAAGAGATAAACAGCCACCTTATGAACGCTAATTAAGTTGGGAAAAATCCTTTTCCAGCCACCTCTCCTCCCATACAAAAAACCTTACGATCGCCTTTTTTTATCCCATGCAGAAAAAAGGGAGTATGATTCCTATCACTGGGAGAAGAATATTGGGACAATTGGACAAACTGCTTACTATTTTTCTAGGGACTTAGATCAGAATTGCCAAGGAAATTGACCATTCATTTGGGAATCAAAGTTTTAAAACTCTAAAGCTATAAGTGAATTCATGGTTGGACCACCTAAATCAGTGGTCATTGACCTTTCTCCTGAAGAACACAGATCTACATGTTTCCCTATAACATATTGGGGCTAGTGGTAAAGAATCCACCTGCCAATGAAGGAGACAAGAGACTCAGGTTCAATCCCTGGGTTGCAAAGATCCCCTGGAGTAGGAAATGGCACCCCACTCCAGTATTCTTGCCTAGGAAATTCCAAGGACAGAAGAGCCTGGTGGGTTACAGTCCACGGAGTCACAAAGAGTCAGACACGATGGAGCGACTGAGCACACACATCTCAGAGGGTCCCAGGACTTCTGTGGTTGGTGCATGGAATCCAAATTAAGAGCCCCAGATCTCAGTAAATGAAAACTATTTTTTAGAGGGAAAATAAATGCTTGTGGCATAGAATTCAGGGGTTGTTTGGGGGCAGGCTGCTTTGATGAGGTCCTGAAATGACTACATTGAAGCAATGCTTGTTCCTCGTGGTAAGTAGAAGTGCTTGGTTGTGCTGACATCCGGAGTGCTGTGTTTTCACATATGTGACTAGTGTCAGGCCAATGCCTCATGCATGACTATGGACCCTCAAGGCCCCCAGGGATTGCTACTATGGGTGCCTTTGAGCTGCTATAATGTGAGTCCTAGCCACACCCACAAGCAGGACACTATCACGGACATGCAGTGTGGGTGCCCATTCGTCTGATTTATGGGTGATGTTGTGGCAAATGTGGCATCAGTTTCATTTCGGGGGAGCGGCAAGTTACAGATATTTCCTTCACAACAGGAAGTGCAGACCTGAAAGAAAGGAAGAGAAAAAGAAGGGTGATGAGGAGCTGGCAGATGAAGGGGGCAGAGAGTTCTGAAGGAATTGGCTCCCTCACAGCAAGACTCAAATGAAAATTACCTGTTCTGCAAAGGAAACACCAACTCTGCATTTAAGTGGGTGGGATGAAATTTCACCTGGAAGCGTTGTGATCAAAATAAAACCTCCTGCCCAGACTAAACTTCTAGGGGTATTCGTTCTGTTTTTCACATCCTACCACACGGTCCTTATGGGTTTCCCTGGTGGCTCCGATGGTAAAATAATCTGTGTGCAATGCAGGAAACCCGGGTTCAGTCCTGGTGGGGAAGATCCCCTGGAGAAGGGAATGGCAACCCACTCCAGTATTCTAGTCTGGAGAATTCCATGGACTGAGGAGCCTGGTGGGCTACAGTCCACGGGATCACAAAGAGTCGGACACAACTGAGCACAACAACATGTGGCTATTATACCATTTTACAGCCTTCCAAGGTCTCAGTTATTCCATCTGTGAAATGGGAATTATAAAACTTACCTTTGTCAGAGAGGTTCTCTGACTACTTGAGGAAGCTGTTAAGACAGTAATTAATTTGCCACGTTTTCACAGTGAAAGTGAAATGCCTACAACCTAGTTAATTTAAACTTATTTAATACTTTCATTAGAACTGTCTGCATAATTATCTCCACTCCCATGGGTGAGTTAAAATTTGAAGGGCTTTCATTTATGCAGTTGTTCCTGCCTTATACAGCTTTCTTCATGCAGCATAAGAAAAAAAAAAGATTATTGACAGAAATTATTTTAGGCCATGGCTCCCAAAGTACAGTAGCCTCAGCTTCAACTGGGAAGTTACTAGCAATGCAAAATCTCAAACTTCACCCCAAATTGAGCAATTTAGAATCTACATTTGAACAAGATCCCCGAGTGATTCATATACACAGTAATGTTTGAAAAACTCTTTGATGCTTAATATCTTACACAGTTGTTATCTTGCAGAAATCTGAGTTTGGTCACAGGTGACATGGACTGGAAGACATGATGTTGAAGAGAGAAACCAAAGGTCAGAAGTGAGTTTGGATTCTATCTGTCACTAGTTCATCTGAGCACATGAATCACTTCTCTGACCTACAGCTTCCTTCTTGGTAAAGTGTCATTATAATGTCTGAAAGCCAAGCTTAGTTTGGAGTGGGGTAGGGAGGGTATGGTCAAGTAAAACTCTTGGGTTTATGTTTCATATTTCAATTATTATTTATGACCATAATTTCTCAATAAACCAAAAAAAAAATGAATTCCTAGTGTATTTCACAAGTCACTTGAAAAGTGAGTGTTGTCCTAGGAGAAAGAAGCCCCTCCTAACAGTGAGAGTGGGGGCTGCCTCCAGCCACCAGGAAGGTAGCCCAATGGGGAGAAGAGAGCAGCCTCCAAGGTCAGGAATGACCTACAAGACACGTACAGCCAGCTTGGAATGAAAGGCGGGAGAGTCAGGGGTGTTCCCCACTCCAATCATGAGTCTGGCTGCCCTTCTCTGAGTCTTGACACTTTCCTTCAAGGCTGCCTTTGAAGTCTGTTCTACACTGCATGCTTCTGTCCGGGGACCAGATGGAGTTTAAGGAAAGTAAACCCACAGGAAACAGCAGGGTCTCCTGTCACCTGCTCAAATGACTCAGAAGCCAACGTGTTACCATTAGTCACTCAGTCATGTCCGACACTGTGTGACCCCAGGAGCCAGCAGATAACTTCCAAATCAGTGTCCCGATAAAGATATGAGCTCCACTTTACAGAAAGCTATCAAAGCTAAATTGCCTTGTCCATCCTCAGTTGAATGAACTTAACAATAATTTTCAATACTTTCCTGGTGTTGTGTTTACATAATTTATATTGGTTTACAAAATTTATACTGGTTATCCTACACCCTGATATAATTTTTTATTCTTTTAGCACCAACATGAAAGGAAGCATCTTTTCATAATGGTATGAAGACAGTCAAAAGTCAGCCTACATGGGGGAGTAGGCTCATGGAGCTCATGGGCCCTAGTGGGCATCTGGAGAGGAGGAAGTCTATGGTGTCCCATCATTTGCTTTGTTGCCAGACCTTGTGGCCTTCATGCTCGGAGTCTCTGCAGCCAGTGGACAAGCAGTCTTCCAGCGGAACACAGCGCTTGGTGACAGAGATGCTGTTTCCTGTGACTTCCATGGTGTGCTGAGTGTAGCAGTATCTAGTCTCTGTCAATAGGGAAAACATGTTTTAATTGAGATGGGAAACAGCCCAACCTGGATGAAAACGAAATAACAGGAGTATTGACACAAAGATATAATGGCACCCTGAACATACACTGTATTAAGTTGATATCCAATCCCAAGATCTCCTTGGAGAGATCCACTTCGCTGTGATAGAAGGAGACCTTCTGAATAACACTGCTCTCTGCCCAAAAAATCCCCATAAGCCAAGACCTAGCAGTATCACTCTTTGTCTTCCAACAAATTTTGTCACTGACAAATTTTGCCACGGTACTGATTTTTATTTTTAGGGCATGAGAGGTTTGGAGGAATGATTTAGGATGTGGAAATCATACAATTTTCAGGAAGATGAAGGGGTGAAAAGTCCAAAGAACACGAGGTTAAAAGAAAAAAAGTGAGACAGGTAATGAAGATCTTCAAGGAAAGAAAAGACTATAGCACAGACTGGTGTGTGTATAAGACTGGGAAACAGCTATTCCCAAGTAAGACAGAATGATTAAAAACAGATTCATTGTATCTGGAGAAAATGACTTCATCCAAAAGAAAGAACTTCTAGCCTATGAGCATAGTTGAATCCAACAATTCATGACAGGAGAAAACTAATCCAGCAATAAGAGTCATCTCTCCCCAGGCTGATTTCAGTTTCTTTCCAAAAAGGCAAATGGACACCAGGAAGTGAGTTTCCAGAGTCCCTCTGAGCTTGCTGCTGCTGCTGCTGCTGCTAAGTCACTTCAGTCGTGTCCAACTCTGTGCAACCCCACAGATGGCAGCCCACCAGGCTCCCCCGTCCCTGGGGTTCTCCAGGCAAGAACACTGGAGTGGGTTGCCATTTCCTTCTCCGATGTATGAAAGTGAAAAGTGAAAGTGAAGTCGCTCAGTTGTGTCTGACTCTTCGAGACCCCATGGACTGCAGCCTACCAGGCTCCTCCGTCCATGAGATTTTCCAGGCAAGAGCTTAGGAGTCTGAAAACATGAGATTTCCTCCAAAATTCCATGGAGAATTTTTTAACTTGCAATTTAAAGAATAAAGAAAAATGACTTTGTCATGTAATTCTTTAAGGCCTCTAGGTGGTGTTGAGCTTTCTAAGCCTGGGATTTAGGAGAATGTTCCTGCTTCACTGTCAGATTGAAAAAAAATAATAATAACTCTTAAGAAATGCCACCGAGCTGTTTTTCATCCACATCTTGGATCCAACTTTGCATGCTTTATACATTTTGGATATTTAGTGGCTAAAATAGAATTATGACCTTCTGTGATATTATTTATTAGGCAATAAAAATTCCCCTCACCAAAGTACTAAAGTCAAGAGAAGAAAGCTCAAGAATTTTAGGTCCAGAGAATGAGCTAATACCACATTGACATATTCTGGGAGTCATGAAAATCAGGGGTTTAATATTCTTCCCAGACACCCTCACCCAACAGAATCTGAGTGGCCTGATTGAGTCTTGCTAAGGGTAAAAACGTGTCCAACGTCGGTGTGGGTACCTGTATTGAGTCTGTGTCAATGCCCTCCCCCAAGGGCTGTTCTCACACTGCACCCAACCAGGATTTCATCATTTGGGACCAGGTCAGGGAAGTTCCTAGTCCCAGGTCAGGGAAGCTCGGGATCTGGGGGCTCTTTGGAGTAGGTAAAAGGAAGGTCACCCTATGAGCTCACAAGAAAACCTGCAAGTTTTGCACCTGGCAATGGTTCTCCCAAAGTTCTAAAGTATTTTAAAATTGGAATGGCTGCTTTTCTGATGCAGAGGAGGTGGCATGATGTTTTACTTATTTTTTTAAGCCTTTAGCAGTGTTTAACAAATGGAAGCCAGTGCCTTGAGAGGTTTACCGCATCTTCCAAAGAGGACTGGCTTACTTTAGTACCAGACTTGGATGTTTATGGCCATGTTAATAGATGCCTTTCTCAGCCCCAACCCCAACTTTTAGACATTCAAGAAAGCAATAAAAACAGCAATGTTCTTATCTTCTGTCTCTTCTTCCCTCAGACAACCAGGAGCTGCCAGAGGTTTTATTGCTCCAAACGTAAATCTGAGCAGATAAGATCATACATTTATGGAATAAGTAAATCATTACATGGTTTCAGTTTGGGAAATTAGGTTTTGTCCCTCAAATATCGAATTACCTTGCTTTAAGGAAGCCTTAAAATAACAATGGGTAAACTTCATATGACTACTTTTTGTTCATATTTTTGTATCTATAACAAACTCTCTTTTAATTTATTAACTTGAATAATTAAATGAAAGTAGAGACAATTGATGAACCTATTTGTTTGTTTTTTCAGGACAATATGCAAAAGCCCAATATGTAATAAGCCAATTCTTGCCATTCTGTGGGGAAAATGGTGATCAATGATGATACTGGTTAAATTTTTTTCTTACATGTCACCAAGTCCAATCTATAAACCAAAGATACATTGAGAACACTCCATTACTTGCAGCCATAGAGACCTCAGATCTGAAGTGTGAATCCCTTGGAAATATCCATTCTTAAACCACAAAATCCAAGGTGAATTGTGAAATGTTAATGTGGAAAAGGATTCAGGAGTTAAATAAGTATTGGAAATGCTCAAAATTGAACAGCTTTCTTTAGTGGATAACTTATGAAAGCCTTGAATTCATATTGCTGTCTCCAAGGAGGGCGGGCTGGGCAAGCAGGCTGAATTTCCCAAGCAGAACTAGGTGGACCACATGTGACTTATCACTGGACGGTAGGATTGATAAAAATTCAGCCCCGGAGCCCTGCTCTCTATGCATTTTGAATAATCCTTGGGTTAGTAATGAGGTTATATGAGAATCAAGCCTGCTGATAACTTCACACTAAAAGGATTTCAAAGACTTTTATCTAAAAGATAAAAGATGGATTTGAATTTCTACCAGGTTAGTTTCAGCCTCTAAAATCTCATATTCCACAACTGCATGGAATTCCCAGAGGTGGTGAAACAAAAGTCTTTTACCATGATACTCACATAAAATCAGAACTGGGTAAGAGAGCTTGCTCAACTATTGAAAAACAAAATATAATTTTTATGAAATTCACACACACACAGTTTCTTACAGTAGCATAAAGTTGGGTTATGTATTTTAGTACACGCTGCCCATCCATTTCTTTAATTTTACATTTAATGTAATTATTTATATGGTAGCACTTAAGTCTGCCATTTTAATTTTTATTTTCTGTTTATTCTGCTTTGTGTTTGCTTGTTTGTTTTGTCTATTTTCTTTTTCCTTCACTCCTGTGAACATTTTCTAGAATTCTATTTTCATTTTTCTACAGTGTTTTTGGATGTATCTCTTTTTATAGTTTTTTTTTTTTTAAGTGGTTGCTCAGGTATTGTTACATGCATAACTTATCACAGTCTGCTGGCATCATTTTATCAGTTCAAGTGAAGCATAGCAATCTGCCCTCTGTTCATGTCTTACTACCCTCTCTTGTTTGCAATATAATTGTCTTCAATAATCCCTTACATACATTTAGAACCACATTAGACAGCACTACAAATTTTGCTTCAACCATCAAACATAATTTAGAAAACTCAAGAGTAGAAGTATGGTCACATCATACTATCAAAGACATATTTTCGCTTACCACGTTTTTCCTTCCTTTCTGATATTCCAACCTTCCTTCTTTCATCATTTCTTTCTGTATAGAGAACTTACTTTGGCCATTCCTTTAGAGTAGGTCTGCTGGTGAAAAAGTCTCTTTGTTTTCTTTCATCTGAGAATGTCTTATTTCCCCTTTCTTTTCCCAAACAAAGTTTTCTCTGGATATGGGATTTTGCATTATTTTTTTTCTGATGCCTGAAAAATGTTGTGCCATTTCCTTCCATCCTTAATGGTTTCTGATGAGAACTTCTGTCAAATAATTTTTATCCTACACAGTGTTTTTTTTTTTCTTTTCATCTTTCAGTAGTTTTCTTTGTTTTTAGTTCCAGAAGTTTGACTGTTGTGTCTTTGTGTAGATTTCTCTAGTTTTATCCTCTTCGGGATTCACTCAACTTCTCAAATCTGCAGGATTTCATCTTTAGGCAAATTTGGAAAGTTTCATCCATAACTTCTTTGAGTACTTTTTTTAGCTCTGCCCTTTTCCTACCTTTCTGAGACTCCAATAACACACTGTTAAATCTTTTGTTATACTCCTGCAGATCCCTGAGGCTCTGTTTTGGGAGGGAATTTTTGTTTTTTCTCTCTTTGTTGTTCAGAATTTGGTAATTTATATTTTTCTACCTTCCAGTTCACTGATTCTTTCCTCTATCTCTTCCATTCTACTGATGAGCTCATCCACTGTGTTTTAATTTCAGCTACAGTATTAACAGTTTTGAAATTTCCATTTGGTTCTTCTTTATATTTTCTATTTTTTTTTTGGCTGATATTTTATTTCTCATTTGTTTCAAGTGTGTTTGTATTTGTTCACTGAAACATTTTTGCTATGGTTACTTTAAATCTTTATTAGCTAATTCAAACATCTTTGTAGCTATCTCATTGCTTAGTTCAGTTCAGTCGCTCAGTCCTGTCTGACTCTTTGTGACCCCATGGACTGCAGCACACCAGACTTCCCTGTCCATCACCAATTCCGGGAGCCTACTCAAATTCATGTCCATCATGTTGGTGATGCCATCCAACCATCTCATCCTCTGCCGTCCCCTTTTCTTCCTGCCTTCAATCTTTCCCAGCATCAGGGTCTTTTCCAATGAGTCAGTTTTTCACATCAGGTGGCCAAAGTATTGGAGTTTCAGCTTCAGCATCGGTCCTTCCAATGAATATTCAGGATTGATTTCTTTTAGGATGAACTGGTCGGATCTCCTTGCAGTCCAAGGGACTCTCAAGAGTTTTCTCCAACATCACAATTCAAAAGCATCAATTCTTCATCACTCAGCTTTCTTTATAGTCCACCTCTCACATCCATACATGACTACTGGAAAAACCATAGCTTTGACTAGACAGACCTTTGTTGGTAAAATAACGTCTCTGCTTTTTAATATGCTGTC